ATGCTCATGGAGTGAAACACATGCAAGATTAATGATATTGGTACACTACTGGGTTTCAAGCAATACTTTTCCCGGCGTAACGGGAATCGAAGGTGCGACATACCCATAAACGGTTGGGATTCTACCTGTGGGCTATCGCGGAGACCGTACAGTATCTGTCGAGTCGTTGTGTTAAGATCACAATCAGTTTCTCAATATGTCCTGCGTGATATTAAAAAAGCGAACAAAAATAAGTCCCTTCAGAGTACTTATGCACGCACAATCCAAACAGGAACGGATGGATCGCTCAAGTCCGATTTTTTCACAATACGGCCATTGTGCCAGTACGATAAGGTGTGACCAACAACGTTAGCATTTGTATTCTCTCTGATGGAAGACATCTTGAAGTTTATGTTGAGGATATGACGGTTTCTGAATGCATCTCCCTGATTCAAGAGGTATAAATTTTGTCTCCACAACTGATCCAGAGTATCGTGAATGTGTGACTCTATTGTTAAAGCCTTTTTTGAGTATTTGTTTTTGTTCTTCTTTTGCCCCATTCAGTTTCTTTTTTCGTTGAACATCTCATAGTGCTCTTTTCTAGGGCAAGATTTTGCAAGAAGAAAGAAGGGATATAGACAACAAAACGTTTTAGTAAGAGATCGTGTTTATCGTGTTTCCCTTGAGAGATCCGCAGTTCTATCCTCCCTTTATCATGTGGGATAATCTCTTCGAGAGATACAAGCCTAACAATAAGGATTGACATTGATGAATGTCATTGACCTCAAAAAACTGGTAAACGTTCATTCAATCATGCTTTAGAGCGTTTTTTTCTTCATCAATGTTAGTCTGTCTGTTCAATCGCTGCTTAATGATGTGCATTCAACGAGATTTTATTCAAATTTCTTATTGGACAAAACTCAATTGATCAAATGTTTAGAAAGTGCCACTGAACTGGAGAATCTGCTTCAGTTTTAGTCAATTTCAGTCATCAAAGTTTTAGTTTTCAACGAGATTCTCTCATTTAAGCGATCCTTTGGGGAATTTGATGCTCAAAAATAGTGTTTAGCTAAACCGATGGATTTTTGGCATGCTATTGCAGAAAGTGCTGAGATGAGTGCGCTTTAGCTGAGTGTTCATCGTTGATTCATTACACCCAACAGCTGTTTATTTCAACAACGAAATAAGAGTGTTTTATGGGAGTGAATAAGCTGGGAAGTAGCTTACTTCTCTTTACTTTCTTGTTGCATGGTGGTTGCAGCTTATAGGCGAAATTTATGTAAACACTATCACTGATAAACCATTATCATCGTTTCAATCGGCTGATTCTTTCAAAAGCTCAGTTGAATTTGCAGAGAAAATTTAAGATTGTTTTTCAGTTTTCAGTTGAATTTCACTTGGTTGCATTCATTTGATCAGTTGAAAATGCATTTATTCGTGACAATATTCGTCGTGTCCGTATTGTGCTTGCAAGTCGTAATTGGTTCACAATCGAATTCTGTGAAGGATTATTTGCGAAAAATTTCCAAACAGTCAACTCCAACACCAGTGGTTCTATGGCATGGAATGGGTATGTTGCTAGAGTTGAGATTATTTATTGCTCTAGTCATTATTACTTTTTGCAACATTCTTGTTTTGTTGCAATCAGAAAAGGCTAAATAAAATGTGATATTTCTTGTTGTGAAAATTCTTGAATAAGTTAAACTGTACTGCGACACTAGTAACAGTATTAATTACATGGATTACTTGGATTGGCCGGGCTATCAAACGTTCGTAACGTTGCTGGCCACAGTGCGTTTCCATTCGATCCAGTATTGGTTATTTTTTTGTTGTTGTAACTGTCTTCTTCGATTGATTTTAGGCGATAGTTGCTGTAATCCAATATCTCTGGGATGGGTTAAAAAGTTACTGGAACGAGAAATTAAGGATATTTATGTGCATTCGCTCATGATTGGTGATAACTTTGTATCGGTTCGTATTTATTCTATTGTGTTGCTTTCAATTCTTCATCACTCAATACAACATTCTTAATTAATTCTTCATTCTCTTAATTTTTACCATGCGGCCTTAAGAATTATCACTTCGTCAAAATTTATCATATATTTACCAAATGATCTGCGGCCTTCAGCTGACTATCATCCGTTAAAGCAGTTCAGTGTGCAGATTGCACCCGAATGATAATCGCTTTCATTCCATAATTTGATGGGATTCTTGTAAATTTTCAATACCTCTTTATTGCATAAATCAATGAAGTCATTATTCCACGGAAACATTTAGGAATTGTCATAATTGCAGTGTATATGAAAACATAATAACATCTGTCGATTTTTTCCTGCAACATTTAGCATTCGATGTTCGATGGTCAATAACATCATAGTCGATCAAAGCGCGCTTTGAAGCTTTTTCATTGAGCTGACCGATTTTCGAACTTTTAATTTGAGAAGTGAATAAACCAACAAGCATTCTAAGCATAGATTTGATATTTACTGATCTCTGTTGAAGGATACGTTGCACGGTTATTTCGGCAATTTGAATGATGAAATTGATGAGGCGTGCAGTAAAATCGCTAATGATGTTCATCTGAAGGATGGTTACAACGCGATCGGTTTCTCTCAAGGAGGCTTATTTCTGTAAGTTCTAGTTTTCGCTTGATTTCTGCTAATAGTAAAGTTATGAGAGAGCATTTGTATTGTGCGTTTTTTTATTCGAATGCGTGACCACGGTGGTTTTGAATTCAAGCTTAGCACTTGTACTGAAGGCATTCTCTGTTTTGCGAACGATCATGACATGTTACCAGGCGATTCCTTCCGCAGTAGACAACCAACATCGATTATAATGACATAATTATTTTCAGTGAAAGATTCTGCCATCTCCTTACTCTCTCTAACCCTTAATAGTTAGCTGAGATTTCTGCAAATTTTCAAGATGGTCTGCCATTTTAAATTCAATGAAGTTCTTAGCCTTAGTTTTTTCAGCAGTCTAATCAACTAGTTATGTTCTATTTGATTGTGCAATGAAACTAGTATTCAACCATTTCGCTGATTTTAAGACGTGGTCTTGCCCAACGTTGTTCAAGTCCGCCAATGAAGAATTTAATTTCAATTGGTGGGCCTCAACAAGGCATTTATGGTTTACCGTACTGTCCTGGAAACGTGACGATTTGTGATACCGTAAGACATCTTCTCGACTGGGGTGCTTATGCTGGTTTTGTACAGAGAAGGTCACAGTTTCCTCTGTTTTTTAGCGTTCATTATGAAGGCGAACACTATCAATCATTTTGAAGTGATAACCTCAAGGAAATGGGCAGTCGATGATTTTATCAGATTTCAATGAGATATTCAGACGTAGCATAAAGATCTTGATGAGATCAAATGAATGCTGACAGTCAATGAAATTTCAGTTCTGTTCAAGCACAGTACTGGCATGATCCCACGGACGCGGCCACATATCGAGAAGCTAGTATCTTACTGGCCGATATAAATGCCGAAAATGTTACTGATTATAATTCTTGATATTATTAGTTCGCAGTTACATTACTAGTCGACTTGAGTAACCGATACGAAACAGGGCTAATCAATTCGACAATGCTGTAGAAATTGGATAATTTACGTGAAATTATTTCAATTCATTGCATGTTTCAAACTCCTTGAATGCTCAATGAAAATATTCAATTAATCAGCCACGAGCGAAACTTGCTCCCGTGACTGAGATGGAAACCTTTAGTGCACAGTTCCAGATTCAGTTAAATCGTAATATATTGAAGTTTAGGCTGTTAATCAAACTTATGTGGATAATCTGAAAAAATTGAATAACTTAGTGCTCATCAAATTCAACAACGACTCAATGATTGTACCTAAAGAATCAGAGGTAATGATTTGCCTTGTTTCCTTAATGGCATCGAATATCGATGAAGTTGTTTTTGCATCTGTGTTATTATCATAATTCCCAAGTTACCTATCACCATCTTAAATTACTCGTGAACTTTGAACAATTTTCAATGATTCAGTATCATTATTTGATGGATTGTTAGATCGTGTTCGAGTTATTATTACCAACAGTACTATTACATAAAAATTTTCAGTGGTTTGGATATTACAAGGATGGTGATACATCGAGCATCATTCCGTTGGAGGAATCGAAACTGTTTACTGAGGTATTTGACATATTATCACTTTAAAGCCTCTCAACCAGTCTGAATAACTATCGAAGCATTAAAGACAAGTGAATCAATCTTTTCTTGAGATTATTTTTGGTTTGTACAAAATGAGCATTTTGTATTGTTTTTTTTTAACTTCCAGGACAGAATTGGACTGAAAGCGATGAAAGACAGTGGTAAAGTGCAATTCTTGGCAATGAATGGAGATCATCTCGAAATACCTGAATCCGTTTTTATCGATGAAATCATTAATAAATTTTTGAAATAAACATTTTCACTTGCATTTCTTATTGTTCAATGCAAACTGTACAGAATTTTAAAAGCTTACAGTGATTTTCACCGTTTCATACTTGGCATTAATCATGTTTAAAAACTTTGAATCAATTATCTGAAGTATGGATTTTAAAATTCCACGATTCTAGCACGCTAATATTCTGTTATTCTCTCTTTCCTTCACCCCACAAATAAAATATGTTCAAGTGAGCCGGCATTGCCACTTCGGACAATTTATATAAATGTGG